TTTCAAGTTATACTGTTATTAGAGAATAAAATACAAATTTTAAATTTTAAAATTCAAAGCAAATAATGCTCAAACTAAACAACGCCAATATCCAAAGTAAACACTCGAAACAAACAATGTCCAAAAATAAACAATTGCAAATAGAGTTACATTGTAACTAAATTTCATTTCATTATCCGAAATTTGATATTTTTCTATCTTCATAACTTCATTCATCGGCAATGCCAGAGATTACACAAGATTGATCCTACAAAATGAAAGAAATAGTATACTCAATATCATAATAATAATTATGATTAAAACTTACATTATTTGATAAATAAAATTACCTCCTCATTAACATCCTTATCATTCATCTTGGAGCAACATCCAAAATACGCGACGGCGCAGAATTCGCTATTGACAAAATAAAATAATTCGCAATAAGAGAATTCATAAAAAGAACAATATGTAAAGCAAATGTTTTATATTCATCGTACCGTGAATATCGGTCCATAACCAGTCTTGAATACACATTAAAGCCTCCAAAGTTTTGAGGTGAAACATATTTTTGTGTGGACTAACAAATCTACCACTAGCGCTGAAAGCATATTCGGACGCCACTGTAGATACAAGGATGGCCAAAATATCTTTTGCAATTTGAGATAAAGTCCAATTCCACCATGTCAATACATCAAAATCATCCGACCAAGGCAATATAGGCTGATCCGAAAAAGTATTAAGCTCAATTTTCACATTACTAAAAGCTTTGACACTAGAAACAAATATATAAAAAGCTGCCATGCGATCTGATATATTATTAGCACTTGACGTATCGATTGACAAGAAGTAGAAGACTGAGCTACAGACCCACTTGAATCTTTTTTTTTTCTAATAACCGTCACCAACTTTCCTCAAACTTGATAATTTTTTTCAATCTCACTTGCAGCGTTGTCATTAAAAATATGAGGATAATAATACTTAACTAACATCATCTTATACCTTGGATCCAACACTGCTGCTAAAGCCAAAATTTCATGAATATCGCTCCAATACTTGTTAAACTTTTCCATCATACTGGTCGCCATCATTTGAACTTACACATAAGGAGATCCAAGCCACTCATACAACGACAGTTTAGTATCAAAAATATTTGCAAAAAAAGAGATTCGCAATTGAGATACTTTGTTCCTGAAAACAACTCTCAAAGAAAACTTTTTAACTTCTCACATATTTCTTATGCCAAATCCCAATCACCATCACTAGGCAAACATTTATACTATGACTCCCTCTGTTTCAAATGAGGAAAAACATCCTTATAAATCAAAGCAGTACGAAGCATCAAATATGTGAAATTCCTTCACAATAAGATTTAATATATGTGCACAACATCTCATATGGAAAAATTCATCATTCAATACAAGAGAAGGAGTACAAAGTTTAAATATTGATCATAGCATCATTTGTGGTGCAATTATCTACAGTCAAAGTTAGTAACTTACGATCAATATTCCTGTCCAGTAAGCTGCACAATAGAGTTTCTGAAAGCACGTCAGCGGTGTGTGGGCAAGGCACATATATAAACTCGAGTTCATTCAAGAACAATGGTAATCAACTAAAAGAATATAATTTCGGTAAATTATGAAAACAAGCGAATGTAATTTTTTACTGTACCTCATGATTCGACTCTGTAGTTTCCAAGCATCATCTATGAATTGAGCAGTGATAACCATGAATCCTTTCTTTTGATTAGAAGAGGTCCACATGTCGATAGTGATTGAAATTCGACTCTCGTTCTTCTCAAGTATGATCATTTTTTTTACTTTCTCATCTTCATAGATCTTCAAAATATTGCTCTTCAAAGTGTTGCGAGAAGGAACCTTAAACAATGGTCGCAGGTCATGCAAGAACTCTCGAAATCCAATGTGATCAACCATAGACAAAGAATACTCATGCAAAATCACCATTTTCGCGATACTATTCCTACACTTATCTGGATCAAAAGAGTAAATACCCATTGTGACCTTGCCACTCACGGCATCCTTTTTGAAATTTAACGTTGTTTGGTGAGAATTATTTTGATGACGGAATACACATTTGTCCAAATGATCATGCAAATGCTTTGTACCATTTTTTGTGTAACCCCTAACTGTTCTTTGCAATGATTGCATGTAGCTCTCAATTACTCACCAATTTTTTTTGTTTTTTGTAGTGCTCCCAAACAGCTGAAGTCAATTTCCTCTTTCCGAAAGGTAGTTCTCCAATATCACGCTCCTCTTCATTTAGGTTTATTGGCCTTTCATCCGCATTTGGTAATGGTTCAACTCGATCTTCTTCTGGGACATTGCTCACCGCCGTGCTATCATCCTCGGGGTATTGGTCCTAATTCAATACTTCCAGCACTACTTGGGCCGAACATTTGTGCAAATAACCAAATGCTCTCAAATAACTGCAACATGAAAAAATGTGTTATTGGAAGAATTTGTGTAAATTTTTACATGTAAAAATTAAATGCGAAGCATTTCTAATATGTAAATACTCATAAGTACAAAGTACATATTCTTCGACAAAATCTGTCAAGCCATGCAAATGCAAGAATAGTATTATAGTAACAGACTAACATGTTTTCATCATAACTCATCCCTAGAAGTATTCCTCATGTTTCAGATAATTTTTCCACCGTGTAATGAAACTGATAACTGACTTTGAGCAATTTTATTATAATTTGATTCGAGACATTAATAAGTACAAAGGTTATATTCTTCTATCATTGATAAACAATTCTTCAAGCACTACAGATGCACAGATTAGTAACTTGGAAATTAGTCAAATTAATTGTAACTAAGCATACATCTCAAGATCGGTACTTGAGTCAATCTCAAAACATTTCGCCAGGTTCTATTTAACGGAGCTTCCAAATGAGTCTAGTGCAGACAAAAACAATAAAGGCCCCGGAGGAAGCTTCGTGTATGCCCCGTTCCTTGAATTTGTTTTAAGGACATGAAAACATGTCCAAAAGACGCAGAAAATTACAACAAATAAATGTTAAGAAATTCATTTTCATCTTCTTTTTGTTTTAGTTCTAACTAGGGATTCACCATAACTGATAAATCATATGTGACTGCATTCCTTATGTCTGGTAATTGCTGATTCAAGAATCGGTACTTGAGTCAATCTCAAAACATTTCGCCAGGTTCTATTTAACGGAGCTTCCAAATGAGTCTAGTGCAGACAAAAACAATAAAGGTACAAGAAACAGTTTTTTTTTTTTTTTTTTGGGACAACAATCTTTCCTACATTATTTTCCCAACTATCTGTCAAAGGATATGATAATTACATATTTTTTTGGACAAACAGTATACTAAACTTAGGATAAATGAATTGCAAGAGCTCGATCGGAAAAAATGAAATATAAACTAACTATGAACTTATATTATCAATTGAAAATTAAACAAAGAGACAAACCTTATGGGAGTGTGACCGGCAGATGAGTAGGCAACAGGCAACCGGCAACCGGCGGTGGCACGGTGCCAACGACGGGAATCACGGCAATATAGGATGTGGACTACTAGGTTTATGACTTACCGGAGGAGAAGAGTCTGAAGAGATAAGGGGTCGTTTCTCTCGTTTGGTGGGAGTGGGATGGGAAAATTTTGGGCTATTGGACTAGGCTTGTGGCTGTTAGGCTGTAAAAATTGTAAGGAGCTAATTTTTATCTTTTATATTCACGGGACGAATTCGGGGCGAGCTGGCCCCGTGACCCAAGATAGGCGGTGAATTATGCCCCACCTTGCCCTGCTAATTCGTTGGGACGGGTTTTCTGCTATCCCTAGAGGGGGTTGATATTCACCTATAAAAGAAGGTGATGTTTCATTGAAAGATAGAACTAAAAAAGACAAGTTGAAGGATTATATTCTCTATATTTCCATACTATATTTTTATAGTTTTAGCAACTCCATGTGAGACTCGTTCTTTATTTCCCTGTGGTCGTGTCCATATAAAGAGAACCGACTATAAGTCATACGGATTTTTATCTTGGAGACGTGTAGTACCGAAAGTACCTGCATGAAGGGAAGACAACGTGACTTTAGAATAACGTCTTCAACATGACTTCAAGGATTGCATTCTAACCCTTTTCTTATTGTTGAATTATAATATTATAATATTATTATGTTTATGCAAATATTGAATTATGTTATTTATATTTATTAGTTGATATATTTATCTACACACAAATCACTCATTTTTTTCCAACAATGGACATGTTTATAATTGAAGCTGTCAAAATCGCAAGCGAACAAAACCTTAACCAGCAAATTATTAAGCTTCAAATGCTAGATAAGTTTTAAACAAGAGAACTCGAGCTCAACACCGCCACACTTGCCTACTTGCTTCTAGTTCTCTTATTATCCCATGTTTGATACCACTAAAAATTTGATTAAAGTCTAGATCAAAGTCAACAATTTATCTTAACCACACATTTTATAGAATTCACAAATTTTCAGTCATATGTTTCATAAACTTTCATCAAAATCTGCTTAAAATCTGATTTTAATCTATACTCAAACAAGGACCAAGTGAGGTTTTATATTTGAGTTATAGGGAGGGTTCTAGTCTAGTAGGTTCAAACTTTTTCCTTTTATCTTTTGAATAGTTAGGACTGAAGAGTCTTGAGAGTTGAGATTTAAAGACATTGAATAAAAATTTCAAAATAAAAATTTATAAATTAAAAAAATAAAAATAGAAAAATTTAAACACAAATCTTGCACCTAAACAAGCATTAGGTGATCAATGTTAGAGTTGACTGCTTTCGTATTCCTAAGTCCTGTTGGAAATAATTGAGAGATGGAGAAGAAACAAAAAAGAAAATCACAAGAAAATATGGCAACAAGATGGATCAAAAACAAAATTTATATCAACAAATGTGAAGGCTCGAACGCGGGATCGCTGTCCTCAAACGTTATTTGCCCCTTCTCCGATGTATTTGAGATGCTAAAAGGTATTATGACAAATGGTTTAAAGGATTATAACAAGTCTTGTAAAGAATTTCACCAAAGCACAAGATAAAATTCTCAAAAACTTGAAGAATACGAGGATATGAATATAAATCGGGATTTGATTTTTCTTGGAACAAAGTATGGATTGCAAGATGTTTTTCTTTCTTCTTTTCCTCAAACATGGCTCTCCAATATATAGCTATCGACTAGAAGTACGAAATGGTGGCAAAAAATCAAGTGAAAAGTCACCAAATTCAAATTTGCAACGGCCAAAAACGGTCAAAAAATATGCACCATGCGACCGCATGGACCGCATGGTACAAACCCATGCGGTCCCATGGTTCACCCATGCCGAGACCATTTGGTCTTGGCCTAAGGCCATGCGACCGCATGGCTATATGCCATGCGGTCGCATGGACCTTTTTTTTTTTATTGTTGTTGGTTTTGAACAACATAATCACAGCAATCTCCCACTTGTTCAAAATTAATAAGTCTCATATTCATAGTATACAATATTCATGCATAAGGATTAGATATCTTTCGATTTAAATCTAACCATAGTATAATTCAAACAAAGTATAGTCGGAATCAAAGGTAACGTGTAGCTTTGAACCAGTTATTCCATATGATAATACCGGTAAGAACACACACACGAGTACCACGTGTTCTCAAGTTCCTCATAACTCGCTTAGCACTTTTAAGGCCTTGCGCTTATCCTTCTCAACAATCTTTTAAGAGAGAAACTCCAACTCTCTATTAAGGCGGCACCACCTTAAAGATTGTTTAGGTGAAGTTCTTCCAGTACCTTTGTTACTTTTAGAGGTACTTGTGGTTTAGTATTGAACTTCATTTAGAGCTTAAAGCTCATCCCTTATTTCAGTAACAAGCAGCATTATTTTAATTAGGATAGAATTATTGCGAATTTTAATAATGCTGCAACTATCTACATATCGAATGACTTGTTTTTACCCTTTGAACCCGTAAATTACATTTTGAGTAATGACCGATAGGGTTGCTGTCATTGGTGAACCTTTTTAGTTAAGGAGTTTCAACCTCATCCTACTCGAAGTAGATACTACTAAATCTCTATTTAGAGGTTTAGTCAAAGGATCCTCCAAATTCTCAATTGACCTTACGTAATTTAAGGAAATTATTCCATCCTTGATTTATTTCCTTATATAGTTATGTTTAAGACTCATGTATCTAGACTTTCTATTGTATACCTTGTTGTATACTTTTGCTAATGTGGCTTAACTATCACATATGATAGGTATTGAAGAAATATTCGATCCCAAAGGTATCTCATAAAAAAGATCCTTAAGCCACTCAACTTCTTTCCCGATATTCGATAGGGCTACAAATTCTGATTCCATAGTCGAGTGTGTTGTGCATGTTTGTTTATTTGATTTCCAAGAAACAACACCTCCTCCAAGAGTGAACACCCAACCCGTAGTGGATTTACTCTCACCCGCGCTAGATATCCAACTAGCGTCAGTAAATCCTTCCAATACGGCCGGGAATTTTATATATTGCATGCCTAGGTTCTTGGTTTTCTTTAAGTATCCAAGAACTCTTCCTATGACCTTCCAATGATTATTATTTGGATTGCTAGTAAACCTGCTAAGTTTACTTATAGCATAGACTATGTCCGGTCTTGTGCATTGAACTGCTACATATGCCTTCCGATTGCACTAGCATATTCCAATTGAGCAATCGCCCTTCCATCATTCTTTACAAGTTTTGAACTTGGATCAACCGGAGTACTATATTATTTTATGTTCAAGTGTTTGAACTTGTTTATCACATTCTCAATATAATGTGATTGACTTAGGTGATAACCTCCACTAGTCTTTGTGATTTTGATACCTAAAATGGTATCCACTTGACCAACATCCTTCATCTTGAATGTGAAATATAGAAACTTCTTTGTTTCTTTTACACCATCCATGTGATTACTTATAATCAACATGTCGTCAACATACAAGCATATAAATGTTATATAATCATCACATATTTTAGTATATAAATATTTATCTATACTATTATGTTTAAATCTGAATGATATAATTGCTAAGTCAAACTTCTTATACCATTTCTTAGGTGCCTGCTTCAAACCATATAATGATTTTACTAACTTGCATACTTTACGTTCATTTTCAAGTAGAACGAACCCTTCGGGTTGCTCCATATAGACCTCCTCGTCGAGATCCCCATTTAAGAATGCCGTCTTGACATGCATTTGATGAACATGTAAGTCATATATTGAAGCCAATGCAAATAATATCCTAATCGATATTATTCTAACTACCGGTGCATAAGTGTCAAAATAGTCGATTTCTTCCTTTTGTCGATATTCTTTGGCTACTAATCTAGCCTTGAAAGTATTTAGAGAACTATCAACATTATATTTTCTTCTAAATACCCATTTACATCCAATAGATTGGGATCCTGGTAGTAAATCGACAAATTCCCAAGTTTTATTAGACATTATCGAATCTATTTCATCTTTAATTGCATCTTTCCAAAAAATACTATCATGAGAAGTCATAGCTTTTTTATAAGTTTTAGGGTCGATTTCCACTTGTAAAACAAAAGGAATTTTTCTAACAACATTCAACTCATTTCCTTCTACTAAGTAAAATGAGATAAGTTGATAATCAATTTCATCCGGTCCCAAAGATTTCTCAACTCGAGTTCTTTTGCTTCTTCGTAGTTCACTAGATTCATCAATATCTTTAGAAGACATTTCATCACGTGTGCCACTTGAGCTAGGGATACTTTCATGATTTTCCCTCAATTCATTATCCGAAGATAACGAATCTTCAAAGAACTCTACATCGCTTGATTCGATAATCACATTGGTTTCCAAGTTTAACAATCTATAAGATTTTCTATGGTTAGCATATCCAACGAAGGCACATTTAATGCTTCTTGGAACCAATTTGGTCCTATTATGATTTGTGTTCTTGCAATAAGCAAGACATCCCACACTATGAAGTATCCAATGTTTAGTTTTCTTCCTTTTCACAATTCATAAAGAGAAACCTTTGTATGTTTAGAAGGAATCCTATTAAGTATCATACATGCACTTAATAAAGTTTCACCCCATATATTAAATGACAATTTAGCATATATAAGCATGTCATTAATCATTTCTACTAAGGTTCTATTATTTCTTTCAGCCAAAACATAGCCAAACCATTTTGTTTGGGTGTTCTAGGTGCAGAACATTGATGAATTATGTCATGTTGTTCATAATATAAATTAAATTCACTAGAAAAGTATTCACCACCTCTATCACTTCTTAGGGTTTTTTTTTTCTTTCGTAGATGATTTTCAACTTCATTTTTATACACCTTAAATATGTCATATTTATGTTTCATCCAATATATATAAGTATATTTAGAAAAATCATCAATAAAAGTAATGAAGTATCTATTTGCACCTCTAGTTAACATACCATTTAATTCACATATATCTGTATGAATTAATTCCAAGATATTAGAGGTCATTTTCACACTTTGATATGACTTTTTAGTCATTTTTTATTCTACACATGTTTTGCATTTATGTTCATTATTTTCATCATATGAAATTAAATCACATTTTTTTCATACGTTTTATAGTACTTTTGTCAATATGTACTAATCTAGTATGCCATAATGAAAATAGATCAACAATATAAGTGAAATTAGTTTTATTCATTTCCTTGTCAACGGTACAAAATTTGACCATTCATTCACTAAAATAGCTTTTTCCAACAAATTTTCCATTAAGGGAGAGTACAAGTTTACCGGATTCATACACACATTTGATACCAGGTTTTCTTAAGAGATTACAACTTACTAAGTTCCTATTCATATCTGGAACATGTAGTACATTGGTAAGGGTAACGAATTTCTCGGAAGTGAAGATGATATCAACATTTCCCTTTCCAATAACCTTGGGTCGAATTTCGTTGCCCATTTGAATCTCTTGGTCTCCATCCATCTCATGATATGTTTTCAATACAGTTTTGTCATATGATACATGTACAATAGCACAAGTATCATACCACCATCCTGAAACCTTTCCCTTAATTGCATTTATTTCGCTTACGGTGGCCACGATTTATCTTCTTGGATGGAGTTCACTTTGCCCTCAAAATTTTTTTGTTTTTGGTGTCTACAATCTTTTGCATAATGTCCAGATTTTTCACATACAAAACACCCTCCTTTGGTCTTCTTCTTGGACTTGTTAAAGTTCCTCAAAGGCTTCCTCTTGTTGAATTTTGTTGGCGGTTCAGATTTTTCAACAGCATTAGCTTTGAAAGTTCCCTCAAAGGAGATTTCACTCTTGTCATGCAATCTGGATTTTTCCTTGATCCGAAAATGCTTTTGCAATTGTTCCAAGGAATAATCTTGATCTTCTTCTGGTATCCTTTCCAAGCCCCTGGGAGTTTAGCAAGTATGACTCCCACTTGAAAGGTCTCCGGGATTTTAATCTTTACCGCTTTTAGTTTGTTGACAATGACTTGCAATTCGTGTACTTGGAGAAGAAGAGGGATATCATCAAGGAACTTAAAGTCGAAGTATTTAGAAATTAGAAACTTTTTAGTACCCTCCTCTTCCGCTTTGTACTTACTCTCCAATGCTTCCCAGATTTCCTTTGTAGAAGTTGTGTTTGTGTATAAGTCATATAAACGGTCCGACAAAGCATTTAGTATGTGACCGCGGCATGTCAATTCGTCTTCTTGTCGTTTTTGTCTTTCAACCTTGACTACCTTGGTCTCTCCATTTGTAGGTTCCGATAGTGGAGCCAATTCTGGATCCAAAATATAGAAGATTTTCAATGCAGTAAGTAAAAATTTCAACTTGTCTTGACACCGCGTGGAGTTTGTACCATCAAACCAATCCAACCGCATCAAGTCTTGATTCATAAGTTTGATGGTTGCCATGTAGTCTCTTTCTCCATTGCAAAAAAATAACTTTTGAGATTGTTGGAAATAATTGAAAAATGGAGAAGAAACAAAAGAGAAAATCACAAGAAAATATGGCAACAAGATGGATCAAAAACAAAATTTATATCAACAAATGTGAAGGTTCGAACGCGGGATCGTTGTCCTCAAACGTTATTTGCCCCTTCTTCGATGTATTCGAGATGCTAAAAGATATTCCGGCAAATGGTTTGAAGGATTATAACAAGTATTGTAAAGAATTTCACCAAAGCACAAGATGACATTCTCCAAAACTTGAAAAACACGAAGATATGAATATAAATTGGGATTTGATTTTTCTTGGAATAAAGTATGGATTGCAAGATATTTTTCTTTCTTCTTTTCCTCAAACAAGGCTCTCCAATATATAACCATCGACCATAGTACGAAATGGTGCAAAAAAATCAAATGAAAATTCATCAAGTTCAAATTTGCAACGGCCAAAAACGGTTAAAAAATATGTACCATGCGACCGCATGGCTATATGCCATGCGGTCGAGTGGAACCTTTTTATTTTTTTATTTTTTATTTATTGTTGTTGGTTTTGAACAACATAATCACAGCAAGTCCTAGTACTCTCGACAGTTAAACGGTGACCTTGCAATTTAATCGACGAGTCTCTAACCTAATGCTCTAGTCCGCTTCGCGTTCAATTTTACATGCACTTCTTTTGTTATAAATTTAGTGGCAGTGGAGTTTAGGGACTTCTTATCATATATTTTGTAGATATACAATTTTAAGTAGTTGTAGAAATAGAAGAATTGGAATATCCAGCGTTAATTTTGAACTTGATATTCACGACATTCATTTTCAACGTCACTATTTACCCTCAGTAGTAAAGAAGGATGAAATAAAAAAATTCACCGTCTCTTTACCCAACTCAAAAATTTAAATCGAAATCAAAACCGATTTGGTTAGTTTGGAAAAATTCCAACTAAAATTAACTCAATCCAGCTATTGAAATTGAACCGAACCAAACCAAATCGATTTGGGTCGATTTGATTTGGTTAGTCCGTTTGAACATTGATCCGAGTTAAAAAAAATGCCTACTTATTTTAAGTAAAGAATTTGTTTTTCTATTTTGATATTTGGAGTTTTGATAATAGTCGCGTATCAGATAGACAAATTATTTGAAAATAATTATGTTTGTGTTTTTTATTATTTTATTTTTAAAATTTAAAACTTTGAATTTTAAAGCAAAAATAATAAAAAAATTTATCAACGGATTGGATCGGTTAATTGACGGGTGGGCCAACAAACCCGATCCGAGTTTTTAATTTTAAAAATTAGTCAAATCAAATCGATCCAAAATGATCTGACTCGGTTTGGTCGACTTTTTGAATTTTTTTTTTTTTTTTTTTTTTTTTTTTCCCTCTGAAAAAAAAATAAAAAAAA